AGTTATTACGCCCCCCCGCCCACCACAAAAACAAAATACTGACTTGAGGGCGGTGAGGTAGGTGTAAAGCTGGTCCAGGAGGCGGTCGCGCGAGCGGATGACCTGGCACAGGATAATGGCCTTGGGCACGGTCTTGGACATGCGGTCGTAGATGGCGCGCGCGTAGGTCCCCGTGAAGGCGCCCAGGCGGTCGTAATACGCGTCCAGGTCCTCCACGCTGCCCACCTCCAGCACCGCGGCGATGCGTGACCCGCCCAGCCCCGTCACGCGGTTGAAGGCGGTGCCCACGCGCGCAGCGGAGCGGCCGAACAGCCCGCGCTCGGGCGAGGCCGCGCCCTCGCGCCCAGGCGCGGCGGTGCCCGCCCGCGCCGCGGCGGCGGCGGCCGGCGTCGGGCGCGCGGGCGCCGCCTGGCCCGCCGCGGCGCGCAGGCGCGCCAGCCACTCGGTCTTGTCTGCGGCGTCGGCGGCGCGCAGGACCACCGAGTGGTGAGCCTTGGCCACGGGCTGCGCCGGGTCGCGGTGCGCGATGCGGATGAGCAGCGCGACGCCGCCGCCGGCGCGCGGCGCGGCGGCGAAGTCGTCCACCATGCAGGCCTTGAGCGGGATGGTGACGCGGGGCTGGGCGGTGCGCCCCGCCGCCTCCTCCGGGTTGCGGAAGTAGGCCAGCACGCCCGCGGCCCCCGCCAGCACGAACCAGCGCCGCTGCCACTTCCAGGAGTCGACGGGGAGGGCGTTGAGCGAGGAGCTGTCCCCCGACCGCTTGTCCAGCCAGCCGCCCTTCAGGTCGGGGGCGGTGGAGACGGGTGGTGGGGCCGAGCCCGGGGTCGCGGACCCGCGCCCCGCCTCGCCATCGGCCACGCCGTCCTCCGAGTCGTCGTCGTCGTCGTCGCCCGCATCCCGGATCGCCGGCGCGCCCGGCCCGGCCCCACCCCCTGCGCCCTCCTCGCCGTCGCCCCCTGCGCCGCCGTGCTGCGCCTCCTGCCACTCCCGCTCCAGCTCGCGGAAGAAGGAGGGGGTCACGTAGTCGCACTCCATGGCCACCATGGTGCTGGCCACCTTGTGGGCCTCTGCCTTCCACTCCTCCAGCGCGCGGTCGGCGGCCACCACCACTGCGTTCTCGAAGCCCTTGAGGCGCAGGAACTCCATGCCGGGCGTGGCGCCCAGGCCGGCCTCGGCCAGCACGGAGCGCCGCGCTGCCTCGCGCACCGTGTCCTGCAGCACGCCATGCACCTCGTCCACGAAGCGGTGCACGTGGTCGTTGGTCAGCAGCATGGCCTCCGCCACCAGGCGCCGGATGCCGCGCTCGGGGGAGACCAGGTGCGGCTGGTACCCGTCCGCCTCGCGGCAGATCTCGCGCACGTACGCGCGGTTGAACCGCTTCTCGATCGGGATGCGGCGCAGGGTGTCCGGGAGCAAGCCCTCCACCACGCCTCGGATCTTGAACGACGTGTTGGCCTCCTGTTGTGTTGATGGTGAGGGGGATGTCGACATTTTGGAGAGAGGGGGAGGGGGGGGGGGAGGAGTGGATAAACAACTGCCACTTCCCTAGGTATCCCCACTCATG